GGGAGTTGAGAGAACAGGGATGAGGAACGAAATATAGCTTGCGGTCCATGGTCCGGTTGCTAAGGTACTGCTCCGACATTCGCTTGATTTTAAACCTAAAAGACACGGAACTACCGGAGAGAGCAGCCGCCCGTTAGAATTCTCCACCAGACCGGCTGAATTCGATCAGGTATGTAGTGTCGAAAACCCGCCTCGGTCCGAACTCAAGTTCTAGATCAGGGGTGTCCAACTGGCAGCCCACGGTGCCATTAATAGTGATCCGCGAAAGATTATTGGATTTTAAAAACTGGAAGTCCCTTGCATCCATGACGGGCGATTACATTGCGCGTCTAGCGCAGACGTCTTGACGATGTCAACACCTCCTTAATGTAAAAATACGTTTAGTATAGATTTTAGATTTATTTCTAGTAAATTCATAAATTCAAAATCACCCCAATGTGTTTCTCTGCGTTATGCATGGTACGGCCTGATATCACTCATGGTTATGTCCCCCTCCCCTCAACCGAGTGAGAGCAGGAGAGCAAATTGCCGAGATCAACAATATGGGGAGGTTATGTGTGAATCCACCGCGTAATGTAAATACGGCCCGCAACCACATCAAAGGTTTCCTGCCTTCCATAAGACGTAACCGAAATGGTTAAGTCGTTCCTCACAAACCGCGCATTCGTGGTCAATGTGGGCAAAGCGAGATCTACAAAGCGCAGGATTGCGGCCGGAGTCCCTCAGGGTTCCGTCCACTCTCCGCTACTGTTCTCGTATGTCACATATATATACACGGCATTTCCTTTACGCTAATGACATAGCCGTCTCAGCAAGAGGACCACAACTGGAAAATACTTCAAAGACAGATGAACCTGACGCTGAGGTGGGCGGAACGAAACCACTAGACTTTTTCAGCAGAAAAAGCACAGGCCATCTGTTACACCCGCCGCAAACACAAATACACTAAACGTTTTACACCACCAAAACAAATTACACTTGATACACAAAAAGTGACATAAGCGCCTAAGGCAACTTACTTACGCGTTGAATGTGATCGAAGGATGCGCTGGCATTTACATGTCAGGCGAATTCGATGAAAATTACAGCAGGGAGTTCGACTCTTACAACTTCTTTTGAGGGAACCTACACTTCCCTTGGAACTTCGCTTGGCACTCTCTAAAACGTATTGCCGGCCTGTATCCACCTACGCTGCGGCAACGTGGTGGACCACAGCACAGAAGTACAAGGACACACTTGAGCTAGTACGGAAAAAAAGTTCTACGGTTCATAGCACGCCCACCGTTTCGGAAACGGTTGAAAGTACTGAAGAAGGATATCGTGTTCTTTAGTCAATGCTTGAGACGGCTTTCGTTTAACGAAGCATATCATGCCTTTCAAACCAACGAAGCTCCGGCTACGCTAAAACAACACGTCCTCACTATAGGGCAAAGAAGACAAGCACTCCCCGGTGATATTCTGAGGGCGTAGTGGAACACAAAAGCCGATTTGGTTATTGACTAAGGTCTGACACGAACCCAAACCAGTCATTTACACTTAACAGTAAAACACGAAATGCGTGCGAACTGCAACAGAGTCTACACAAACCTTCGGTTAATCAGAAAAAAAATCAAAGGTTTTACTTGTGGCTCTTGAGGCCTTGCAAGTTGTACATTCCTATTCTAGAATCTCCCGGTCAGAGACACTGGAGTGGCAACAGTTGTTGCACTGACCTAGTTAGTAAATGATGAACGAGTTAGGGTAATGAGACAAAGAAAACGTGCTCATATAGTGCATGGTCAATCGGCCCACGCGATGTTTATTTAAGCAGTGGTTTCTAGTAAGTCAAAATTAGTGAGAAGTGACCTTCATGAAGTAGTATGTGTGATAGTATAGAGCATGAAAATGTAAAGAATGAGAATAGGACAGACCACGCGCGGTCCTTGGCCTGTTATTATAGGGCACTGCTCCGGCATTCGCCTTATATTGATCGAAAAAAACACGGAAAACTACCGACCAGAGCAGCCGGCCACTAGAATTCTCCCCCAGATAGCGACAGAACTTTAGCTCGACCATTTAGGGGAAAAAACCTGGACTGCGTATGACGAAAATTGCCGGAGAGGGTTCCCTCCCTTAGAGGCTCAACTTGCCCGTCTTAAGGAGCCACGACCTGGGCGCGCAGGAAGACGACAGCCTGCCCTTGACGAACCAGAGAGTATATATTGACGAACGTGCCGAACCCTAGTGTTGAAGCGAGAAAAACAGTTGCAAGAGCGAATCGGTTGTCGTTGCAGGCGGCCCTGAGTTCAAGTTAACTCCCCTTCGGGAGCAGTGGGGGATTGCTTAGCAATGCCTCCCGAAGTAAGCTATGCCATGTTTTTTTATGCGTTCGAGCTATAGACCAACCTATCTAGCCAATATCGAAAATCCTGCCACCGTAAGGCCTCGGACCTAAGGCCTCTCGGTCAAAGGCACTGCAGTGACATCAGATGATGCCCTGAGCCATCTCTCCTGGATTGTCTAGGGAAGATTCCAGAAGTGAGGAAATGGAGAAACTTTACCCAAGTCCCGTCTTAATTGAGGCCCCGATTATTTTTAATGGAAAACAAATTTTTTAAAAAAATTTACTTCTAACTCAAATTAACAGCTATAATTTATTCCTTTTGCATGGAGAAATTAATTCTTGTTATATGTGTGCGTTGTATGAGGGGGAGACCTTTGTTTGAAATCAGGGACCCCATGGATGTACTGCCCCTTGTTTTCTCTGGATACCCCTGGTAACTATATACCATGTTTTCTTACCAGTGCTTATTTTTTTTCTGATCCGCCCGAGGTTTCAGCTATGATACTTACGCTTTGGTATGACGAGATTTCGTTTGTTCCGGATCACACGGTAGCTGGGAACCTTGGCGTGCGCGCTCGTCAGCTGACTGCGCGGAGGGGAGTGGCTAACATCCCCCTCCCTTTCCCACCCTCTCCCCCACCCTCGTACTGTCAAGGTCGTGGGGCGTCCATGCATGGCATCGAGGCGGCGTTCGCAATTTTAGCGCCGCTCAGAGTACGCCCCGGGGCGCTGTTGTTTTGTTTACTATATAGTGACTTGTGACGCCACCTTGTGTGTAAGTTTCCAGTTCTCTCACCAGCACAAAGCAAGACGGTAATATGCCTTTTTGCGAGAGTTTTTTTTAAGCATAATGTGTGTTGTTTCTCGCAATGTGTGCGCAGTTCACGAGTCTAAATTGAGAATGTTCATTGATAATGGTTTCAGTGAATTACATGAGCTTTAACGAGTTACATGAAACAATGCAAGTTGGAGGACTGTCGATCTCGTGACGAGTGCGCATGCGTGGGTGTGGCTCAGATCGCGTTTTGGGAGATGCGACCGGGGCCTTTTGAAGACCGGCCCCAGGATGAAACATAGTGCTCGCAGTACATTTTCTAACTAGATCTTGCAAACAAGTCCGAAATTATTACAGCTAAGACGCACTGCGTCAAATGTGCTATTTTTTGTTGAAAATGGTTTAATAACGTGGAGTTATGAACTTCATGTTCTTAAAAACATTTTAAACCACGATTTTATATTTTTTTTATAATCCCTTTAAACCCCAACTTTCTATTGGGTCCAGTTTAACGAATCTACCACTTACATGGAATGTAGAACAAACAATATTAAGGACCATAAATTAGTGTAGAGTAAAGAGTTTGTATGAGCAAATCTTTCATCGTCGTCATTGGCAAAAGATAAACATGAATGGCAGAGAATTAAAACAATCTCAATATGTTTATATTTAAATTTCTCCCTCTGTTGTGTTCCCTTCATCGTCAACTGGAATGTGACCCTCCTCAATGATGCTTGCTCCAGTTTCCCACCCGTTTCCCCCCACTTACTATGAGTACAAAACAACAGTGTCAATCTGAACTATGAATGTTTGGAAACCGATCCTTTGCAATTGGAATGATGCATTATAAAGACTGACAAAATCTAGTAAAATCAAAATAAACAAGTTTATTTTTAGTTGAACTTTTCTGGTAATTTTGCCAACATATTTTCTACAAAGTTAATAAATTAATTTCAAACTGGTTTTGATGGTTTCAGTGTTATTGAAATTAATGCAATAAATATTCTATCTCTTTATTAATCTAGGTATTTTACCATTACTTTGCCTTTTGATATATGAATCTGTGGTGTTTGTCAAAAATTACTTACTTAAGGGCAGGAATATATCTTCAGCAAACTCTGATGTCTATAACTTGGCATAGTAATCATATTCATCAGGTGACAGTATCAACAGCTCAGTACAAAAAGTTCACATACAATACATGTACATTGTTTTGAACACCTTGCCAAATGACCTCCAACGATTAAATTCGATACAAAAGTTAAGCCGTAGTAAAATCTTCTCTGCTGCCCAACTGTTTCTATACAGTTAAGAGACTATACCAAGCATCCAAGAGGAAAGTAATATTAATTGTAACAATGACATATAATGTATTATTATACATTTGGATTGTTTAATTCTAAAGAATCTGTAACAAGTATTGTACTTCAGTTAGATGACCCTTTGTTTTGCGTTTGGTCTTAAATGTAACATCAAATTAATTTTGCTCCATAGCATGTCACACAGTTTTTATCTGATTTTGACATAAATTTTAACATCATAAAGCTTTAATTTAATATAGGTAGTAATTGAATTGTTAAAATATTCATTATTAGTAAGTGTTTATTTCTAAGGAGGCCAGCCCATCAATAATTTTAGTACTGTTGCATTGTATCAGCATATATTTTAAAAAATTCAGAGAATGAGTGAGGCAAAGCAGCTTCAATCAAGCAAAGGAAGTTGGTGATGGGGATCAGGGTTAGTAACTGAACACCTTTTGCATTTTGCCTTTGATCTATGCTAGCCAAATAAACCAACCTATCTTCACATTTTGTGTCCGGAAATGCAATTGGTTTCAGCTGATTGGGGCAAAATAAAATCAGTATTTGTTAAACACAGAAACATTAAAGCTGTTTTCTTGAAATGAGGCCCACCAATAGATTATATAGAGGTGATACCTGTCTGTCTGTATTTATACACAGTGTAAAATTAATTTTTATTCAGAATTTTAGAATTAGATCAACTCACATTATTTGTCAATGAGTCCAACACTCATTGGGCGATACCTACTGTACTCTTATTAATCTACATTTATTGTGGTAACAAATAGGCTTTCACAAAAAATATTTAAGCTATCGTATTTTAATGACATGAGTAGAGGACAATAACTTGTTATCAAATATTGATAACAGTATTTGTAGCTAACTTGTACCCATGTATGGCATGTAGGATGTATGGCATACTAAAGCATTTAAATGGTAAATGAGAGGGTGTAGATTCCAGAGATAAAGAACGTGTTTGCAGATTGTTCATTGTCCATCAGCTTTGCAGCTTTCTCACCTAGAGAAAAGATTCAGAAGGGAGCAATGGGTGTTATAAATAACATGGGAAAGTGAATGTTTTCATTCCTAACTAATGTTATGGAAACTTGTAAGAAAAATATATTAATCTACCAGAAAAAAAAGGACATGAATAATAATGAGAAAATTACACAACTGTAGCAATACGTTGTTGTTGTAATACATTTTGCATTACTAATGAACTGTTTGAACAAAATCTTGTATTGTGCTTTTTTGGTATTAACACAAGAGTTGAGACGTTTGAAAAAAATGTTAAACATTTTACTATTTCTTTTGTTTTTTTTTGTTTTCTGAATGTACCATCATTGTACTTTCCATTATTTATTTCTATAATGTCTCAAAAGTTAATAAAACAATTATTAGTTTATAATCTATCCTGCAATAACTAGAATCCAGCAGCAAAAGTTGAGGCCAAAATATTGGCATTTCAAGATCTGTTGTCTTCTTTATGACTAACTCTCAAAATATTTCCTATTAACTGAGAATCAAAGTCAAAAAAGATAGCAGGGGCATTAAACAAATTTAAATTTGATTTTTGTACAACACCTTTGATAATTTGAGCAAATCATCAATGTGGATATGAATTTCTATTATTGATAATTCTGTTTGAACGTAATCTTCTTGAAATAACAATATTACATAAATTCCTCACTTTGACACCAGTGTCGTTGGTAGGCAATTGTAGGGAGTTGCAAGTAATAAATTGGCTCAATGCAGAAGTACAATTTTTTGAACGTAAATAAAAGAAATAAATGAATACTATTAACTTTTAAAAAACAATTAATTGACTATATATCCTCTCTGTTAATGCACTAAGAAAATATTTCCTCTTTTAAGAAACATTGGACACAAAATTGCTTAAAGTTGGGTTCCAATGTGAAGATATTTTCACTTTTAAATGAATATGCATGAGGGAATATGTGGAGAGCAAGCAAGGGAACACGTAGAGAATATGAAAGGGAAATATTTTGGGGAGCATATATAGAAATATATGAGGGACAGGTCGAGAGAAGAATTATATAAAGATTTACCTATTTGGTGTCCCTGTAGCAGGGTAGAAGAGAACAGAAACTCAAAATCTATGTAAAATTTAATTGACATGATAATAGGCCTGACAAGAAGCCTACAATGCTTCAATGTGAAGTTCAGGTTCTGACCTGAAATTGGTATGTAGTACAATGCATTTTCACTTTTAAAACAAATATTTATGAAGTGTAGAATATTTGCACAGGTTCATTCATTGGAAGAAATATGATAAGTTCTCAAATTTTAAAACATTAACAATTTACATCACAGCTACATGTTGCAAAACATCTATCAGAGTTGACTAAGAAGAAATGTTTCTTGTATGTAGATTTCTTTCAATTTACTGCTTAGAATTTAGATGTATGCTTTTTACTCTCAAGGAATTTTCATCATATTTACTGTAATTATGAAAAATGTTTTAAAAAGTTAAAATTTAAAGTTCAAAACAAAGACATTATAACTAATTTTAAAATCAAAATCAGTTTGAATTGGATTTAAAACTTTTCAAAACTTTCAATTTCAAAATATTGTTCATGTTATGATGGTAAATTATTTAAAATTGGAGGTGAAGTGTCATGATAAACTTTGATTTCTCCTGTGAATTGTCACGATCAGATTCCCGGTGGTACCTCTCTTAGCTTTGATGATCAATATAGTTCATACATTTTTTACTTGATTTATTGACATTTTAAAACTAATTTGATTACATTTCAACATTTGGAGTTAGATAACAACTGAGCCATCATAATTTATTGGTCTAGTACACCGAGCCCTATATTACATTTGCATTACATTTACATTTACATTACCCTGTATATTACATTTGGAAATTACTAAACATCAGGGCCATATTTTACATCAAACTTTGTGCATTTGTGGTTCTTAAAAACACTGTAGATGACACCAAAAGTGAACCCCTAGAAGTTTGGACTCGCCACCAAATTTTGAACCTGAGCCCTAGCACACCAATCAAGTTTGATTGAACTACCAAACTATTGCAAAACAAAAATAGAAATAGAATATATTTTTTTTGTGATAACATCTCAAATTCTTTTAATTTTTTCTTTGCAGGAGCCTTTAACTCAGAGTTAAAGAAGATTGAAGAGATGGATGAAATAATAGAATACTACCTTCAAATATTTGCCATAACATTTACTATTGGCTTATTAACCAGAGCATATTTTAATTACAAAACAAAATATTTCTCCCAAAAAGGATTATATACTTATGCATCATTTCCCATTGTTGGTTCTTTAGGACCTGTTTTTTTCAAAAAATATTCATTTCCTGTTTTTTGTCAAATGATGTACAATGATCTTAAACATTTCAAAATTGCGGGATTTTATGATGCTACCAAACCAGCATATTTTATCTCTGACCCAGATATGTTGAGAAATATTTTAGTCAAAGATTTTGATCATTTTGTGGACAGATTTCATGCAATCCCAACAGATGCAGAAAGCTTTTTTGGCAAAAATCTTCTGTCTTTGAAAGGTATTTGATTGTTCTATTATTAATTGAACTAGGTGAAATTAGAATTAAATAAATATGTTCAAATTTACTTTTGGTTTCTCACTTTCTCTTTCTCTATGGCTTTATCTTTCTATTTATTTGCCCTTAGGCTTGCAATGGCATGGTGTAAGAACTGCATTGAGCCCTGCTTTTACAGCCAGCAAGATGAAAAATATGTTTGTTCTTATGACTGAAATTGCAGACCAGTTAGTTGAATTCTTACATCACTCATGTAGAAATCGTAAAGGTGACTAAAATTATATTAGACTTGACCACTAATTTTCATAAGAATGAACTTTGAAAATGTGATGTTTACTTTCTTGCAGAAACTGTTGGTGGGATTTTCTCTCTTGAAATGAAAGATCTTTGGACAAAATTTGCAGCAGATGTGATTGGCACTACAGCATATGGAGTTAAAATTAATTCACTTCAGAATCCTAACAATGAATTTCTTGCATGTGGGAAAGCTATGACAAATATTACTGTTCTTAGAGCAGCCCGATTCTTCGGGTATGCTTGTTTCCCAAAATTAATGAAGGTTAAGTTTCTTCTCATATTAAGTTCTGAAAACTTGTCATGATGTTTATTAATTTTAATCCTTTGGCAATTAGTTAAATAAAATACCTCTTCACTAATTTATAGTGCTAATTTTTAATTGCCAAAATTTAACATAAATTTTTTTGGTATTTTAACTTTATGTATTTTGAACTCTTTATTTTTATTTAGGTACATATTTTTTATAAACTAAGTATTCATTAATTTTTTAGTATTAAGTTGATAGTTTTATAAGGTTGTAGATTATTAATGATTTCTGCAGGAAAGTCTGTTGTGGAAGTTCTGGAGGGAGCCTATTAAAATAAAACTTTTAACAGTGTGTCGAATTTCTGCCTATTTAAGTAAATATAAAGAATGAATCTAGAAATTGCACCTTGAACTTTGGTGCACAGTTCCAATTATGTTTCTGCTTTCCATTTCAAAACAAAATAAAATCATGATCCTTACTTATAAATAATAAATAAATTTGTAAAATTGGTGTGAAGATAGAAGGCTTAAGAAAAAAATAGGAAATAAAGATAAAAGAAGAATTCATAGAAACAGCTTTTAAAAGTAAATTTTTTTGCTTACTTCATTCAGACTTGTTTTTGTTTTGTATTGTGGGGAATAAATTGATCCAAGGCATTAAATAAAGTATCTCTAATTCCTCTAAATAAAACTGTAATGTCATTGTACAGATGCTGCGTATATCACTTTTGGATGCAAAGGCAGAGAAGTACTTTTCGTCCCTTATCAGAGAAACAATAAAAGTAAGAGAAGAGCATAATATAGTTCGTCCTGATATGATACATTTGCTCATGCAAGCAAAAAAAGGGAACTTAAAAGTGGACCCTCATGAAGAAGACCAGTATCACTTCCAGAGAAAAAGTGCAGCACTTGGTATTATTCATGTGTAATCTTTTTTGTGTAGTCTTAAGAAAAATGTTATAGGATAGGGTGAATGATATATGTTGTATGTGTTTGTAAGCTTCCGCGGCCGGAGTCAATACGTTCTTGGCTATCTGTGATGAGCTGCGTCTCGGTTGACTGAGACGCGGCTCATCCCAGATAGCCAAGAAAAGTATGTCGTATATTTCATTTAAATTTCATTTTAATTCAAATGTTTTAACAAACAGCAATGATATGTGGACAAACAACAATGATATTTTGAGATTGTTCTGCTATTTTGTTTCACCCTTATTTACTTTGTAAATTATTTATTTATTTTTTTAATGTTAATAAAGTTTGAAATTCATGCAAAAGTCTCAGAATAACAATTGTCAGATGCGAGAAACATTTTCAAAGTATATAAAGTACTATTCAAGAGCGATTTTTAATAGACCCCAATTTCCACTTTTATTTAAAATAATTCCTGTTTGTTCATGAAACAAGAAAACATTGTTATTGAAACATTAAAGATGAAAATATCTCTGCAACTATTTGTCTAATTCTTGTTGTTCTAAGAATTGAGGAAATTTTCCTTGCATTTTTTTCTTTTCCTGAAGAATAATTTATGAGAAACCTTTGATGGTTCTAGATAAATATTTTCAGTAGTCTGATTCAGGTATTTTGTTTTGTCCATTCAAGATCACTTTGTTGAAAACACATACCCAAACATTTTTCTATGTTGAGCAAAGCTTCATATACTTGTATATTTATGATGTTTGTGTTATTCCTTTTTTATTATTTCATTTTAAACATCATTATTTATTTTTCAGATATTTCAGATGACCTCATTATTGGACAAGCAGTTATATTCTTCTTTGCTGGCTTTGACACAATCTCTTCAGTGCTTAGTTTTGTTTGCTATTACTTAGCAATGAATGTCGATGTTCAGAAAAAATTACAGGAAGAAATACGTTCTCAGATAGGAGAAGATGCTAAGAAACTAACTTATGAAGATATTCAAAAAATGAAGTATTTACACATGGTTATATCAGGTTGGTAATACCAAATTCATTATGAAAATGTATTCAAAAGTTTTCAGATGGTGTTTTAAATGTGAAAATTTTTTAACTAACCACTATGTTAGCTAACTAGTGTATAACTTTAACTAACTAGTAACACTTTAACTAACTAGTATGTTAGTGTAAAAATGTGAATGAAACATAATTTAACCTGCAGAATACAAAGATACAATATAAAATGGAGAGGAAAAAAACAAAACAAAAAACAAACAAACAAAAAAAAACCAACAAACAAACAAACAAACCTGAAGAAAGTGTTGTTTTTGCCCATATATTTATGGGGAGGTCATAAACGGAATAAGCTTGCAATAGTCCCTCCTTTTCTCATTGATGTAATTACTGCATTGGCAAGTTGCAGAGATAAATTTCCAGGAGTTTCAAGGATGTGTGGAGTATAACTGACAATTACAAATATTAAATAACAAACCAAATAAAAAAAAGTTAAGAGATTTAAAATAATGTAAATTTCAATGAAACTCATTATGATTTGAAAAACAATTTATACTTGAGACCTTTTATTCATTGAACTTTTGGTAAAACTATTTATCATGGAAAATATTTCCTCTTTAGCAGATTTCTGTTACCATACCTTTAACATTGTTTTTATAATATATCAAACCCATTGTAATTTTTCATATAAGTCATTAGTAATAATTTTTGTATTTCTCTAAGCCAAGAACATGATTGCTCAATCAGAACAAGTTATTTGTAAGTCAAAAATTGTACAGTTTAAGAAACATTATCAATTGGACTTGAGATATTTTTCCTTGAAGGTTAAATATTAATGAAAAATCTTTGAGACAAAAATTTATGTCAGTTTTATGCAGTACGGTTATTGTATCTTTACTTTTAAATAAATAATATTGCATAATATAACTATAAATGAAACATAAGAGCAAATATGTGAAGGCTGATTGAAGCTCTATAAAAATAGTTCTGGGTTCAAATCTCGTAATTCTTTTTAACACAATCGCATTTGTCTTAAAATTGAAGATACCTTAATAAAATTATGACTTCTATTTTTTAAATTTTATACCTGAAAAATAGAACAAAATGTCCAAAATTGGCATCAAAATGTTTGGTAAAGTTGATATACTTCTATGTATCATTCACTGTTTGTGCTAATGATTTAGAACTTCAAAAATTACAAGTTTAAATTTTTTCGTCTTGCTATACTATGACATTAAAAAGAAAAAGAAAAAAAAATCCTCAAAACGGCTTCAAATGATTTTCTAAACTTGTTGTACAGGTAGTGCTAAAGTCTGTGAATAACTAGACATAAATGCTCATCAATGTTTTGATTTTTCAAAAATTACACAAACAATTTTTGGATGTATCTCTCAGTGTTAATATTTACATAACGGGTATTCTTTACAAATTATTTTGTTTTTAAGTAAAAGTGTTTCAAATTATTTGGTATTAACCCAGATAAGCCTGAAGTCCTTCTGGGAGGACAAGGTCATTCATTGGTGAAATAATGAATTTTTTTGAATAACGCATTGTTGTAAGGGACAGTGACACATATTTATATGAAGTACTTTAAGACAGAAATGCACTGCCAGTGCTATTTTGATGCTATCATGAACAGTTATTGAAAAATTGTGTTTTGAAGATATTGCAATTTTACAACAGACAAATTGACTGATGCTGTTATTGATGGGTATGTAAATTTTCTTTTACATCATGTTAACAACTCTGAAACTGTTGATATAACACCTTAAAGGAATGAACTACATTATTTATAGTGTTACATTGCAATTGATATTTTTCTTTAATTGTTATTCAATGTTATTTTCAACTGTCCTTTCAGAAGGACGTCAAGATAACATGGGGTAATTTTATACATAGAGGAAGCTATGTATAATGTTATACATAGAGGAAACACTTTTGGAACTTTTGGACATTTTAGAGACAAACAATGATTAAATACCAAAAAAGTGGTATAGATAAAACATTACATCCTCTAAAGTCAATTGATGACATAACAGATTCGGATGCAGAAGAAAATACAAGTGTAGGTTATTTACCAGTGAGGCGACTAAATGCTACTGCATGACAAAAGATGATTGTTTTTGTAAATACTAACAACAATACAAAATTGTTTCAATTTCATTCTAATGACCTTATTGGATAATATTATAATCATTTAAATCAATTGAAAGAAAAATTAATTCAGGATTATCTGTATTAATTTTCTTAGAAACTCAAAAGTTTTCTGTGAAAATGAGCTCAGAAATGTGCATTTTAAGAATTACTCAAAGGACATTTTCACAAGAAGAGCTCCAATTTTTCCAATAAAAAATTACATATAGGATCATGTTTTACTTTTCTGTAATATTCGTGAAGTCTTCTTTTTCAATTCTACCATTAGGGGACCAAAAAAATTTAATGTCAAAAAATGTCTGTTAGGGGGTAGGTTACAGCGGGGTAAAGGGTGAGACAATATCCAAAAGTTAGCTTAGACGACCTAATGCAAGAGAGTGTGTGAGATTCTGTAGCACTACTGGGTTCAGATTAATAATATAAATGAAAATGTGTATGAAAGTGATCTAGTTTAATTTTATCACTACTGTGTCTATTTCAGAGACATTACGATCAATTGGTGCCCCACAAATGGATCGTGAATGTGTGAAAGACTACATAGTACCTGCCACAGATAGTAGTCCAGAAGTTCATATTAAGAAGGGTGAAGGGCTATGGTTTTCAATGTATGGCCTTCATCACGACCCGGAATATTTCCCAAACCCAGAAAAGTTTGATCCTGAGAGATTTAATGAAGAAAATATTCATAACATTAAGCCATTTACATACATGCCTTTTGGAATGGGTCCACGAAATTGCATAGGTAAAAAGAAATTATGTGTAATAAAATTTCAATTTTTCTTTATTTTATGACATTCTCAGTATTTTTAAATTTTTTCCCTTTTTTTTTTAACAGGTATGCGCTTTGCTCTGATGGAAGCAAAAATAGCTCTCATATACCTTTTAGCCAATTTTGATATATGTAGAGTTGAAAAAACCCCAGAGAAAGTTGTATTTGAAAAATCATTTAACCTTGCTATTGAAGGTGGATTTTGGGTAGGTCTTACCCCAAGAAAAACGATTGAAATAGAAAAATAAAGATGAAAAATATATTTAGACATTATATGCATTTCATTCTGTAAATAAAATGGTTGTTTTTTTTGTCATTATTGAATAGCAAATATGCAGAAAAATTTAAAAATTTGTTTTTGAAATCAATTAAACAATTCTGAAGTCTTAAAATTATAAGTAAAAATAAAATTGGAACAATTCTTTTCTTTTGTCAAATGTATATTAAACATGCGTCAAGAAGGCTGACTGCCGGTGTGCTTACTTTCCATACACAAGGGCCTAGTGCAAATCTCGTTGGGTGCTAGAGAAATTTTTAGCTTTTGCAAAAATACAACCTTCTTTGTGGATGGAGAAATAGGGTGTTGGAAGTGATGGTGGGTAATGGCATTTGTAAAAGATATTATTATTAGTGCTTCAGTACTTTGTGACTTGGTGAGAAAAGTGATGACCAACCACTTCACTTACTCTAAATTGCATAGTACGCCTCATGAGTTCTACTCTATGGGAATATTTCGAAGATCCAACCAGTCCTTAGTCTGAAGACAGTGGAAAATATGGTAATTTTCAAGAAGGTGTTCTTTTTATTATAAATAACTGATCATGATGTATGTATAATATGTTATACATAATATAAATAATATATAATATGTAATATAAATGTATATTCAATGTTTATACTGAAATATTTGCTTATTTAATAGAAAATTATTCCAAAAAAGGGTTTAAAATTTAAATGATCTCTTTTGCAAGAATAATCATTTAAAACCTGAGGTCTGGGTTGATTGTCTTTTCCTTTTTATATAAATTGAAATTTGAGAGACATATTAATTTTTGAAATAATTCCTATTTAAATCCTTCATTAAATTTCTATTTTGTAGAAATCTGTATAAAAGTAAATTGTATACTTTTAAGAGAAATGTTTTAATGCATATTGTTTTAAAGAATACTGATGATATTACATATAATTATTATACCAGTAACTACAATACTCTATAACGTTTATGATCAGGGTTCAGATTCTGATGACCTGACATCTTTTCATTGGTACATTCTAGAAGTAACTAACTGGTAACTGAATATTTATCATGACATATAGCTGATAGAAATGTACAGTTATTGGGTCATTTTTGACATTTTTTGCCATTTTGCAATGTTTAGGTCATTTTTTTTACCTTTACATCATTTTTACACATTTTGTTTCCTTTTTGTGTTTTTTGTGAGTGAATTTTTCGTGAATTTTTAATGACACACTAAAAAAAGGTTTCGTTGTATCATTAGTTTATGTTGAAATTCACTATTGCAATAGTCTCTGTTTCTCAAACTCACAAAATTACATATATCTTTGGTAACTTTCTCGACCTTTCAAAACAACTGTTGGAAGATTAGAGCTAATGATTACATTTCCTTCTAAAGTGAAGACTTTATGTTAACAATAATTTTATATAAATACATTTTATTTAAAATTGTAAAATTCATTGAAAAAGTAACCATTTTCTAGGTCCACAGAATTCAAACCCTGCTTATCATTACAACAGTATATTTTGTGAAGAGTATAAGAAATATACAGGGGTGCCTAGAGAAAACAAGGGGCTTGGGGTGCCTAGGGAAAAATTGGGAGTGCTGATGTTTTCCCCCAATACATAAACAGAATTCATCTCTTCATGCAACAGAAATAACTTATAAGAGGTTAATTTGAATTAGAAGTGAAATTTTTGATGTTTTGAATGAAAAAAATTTGGGGCTCCAATTAAGTCAGAACTGGAGCAAGTGGCCTCACCTGTCCCCTGAAAATATGTCAGCTTGTTCTGGGCATACCTGAAAATATGTCTGAGAATGCAGTGTAAAATAATATAAAATAACACTTATTTCTTGCTAAACCTTTATTGTTGATTTATATCTTTGAATATTAAGTACTTGAACGACTAGCCATAATAGAAGGTAATTATGAGCACACAATTCTTTACTCACTAATATTAAATAAAGGAAACATTGTGAAACAAAGCATTATGAAAATCCTATGCAACCAAAAGCCATTTTATTTGAAATTAATACAAAATTAAGAACAAATTCATAAGGGAAAGGTTCTTGAGTTTAGTTCAGTTTTGAATTACGGCAGCATTGTTAGTGAATAAAGGAGCCATCCATAAATTACAGAATGAAAATGTGAAATATTTTGAGTTTCCTCCTCCTATAATGCATCTGACATGTGCACTTACATGTACGTTTGTGTAAACACCCCCTATTTACAGTAAGAAAATATAAATTATGAAGCAGTAACAATGAGTTGTATTAATTTTATTTGTGTTATATATCAAAATTTATGATAATTTGTCAGAATTAGTTGGTGATGCTGAATCACTAATAATAAGATTGGAGACAATTTTTGAGGGATGCAGACAAAAACATTTTTTGCGAGCCATGCACATGCTGATAGTGAATGACGCATAGCCAACAATATATTTGAATTCTAGAATATATCACAGATGAGTATTGAATATATTCTTTGTAAGCTAACGGATTCAATCAATATGCCATTGATGAAAAAAATTATAAGAATTATTTTATATAATTTATTATAAGAATTTATATATCATAATTTTTTATTTATTTATATTTTTTTCAATTTAATTGATTTATTATTTAATGTTTAAGTATAAGTCTGAATAAAAGGAATTACTTCAGTTATGCAGAAAAAAAAATATCAGCATTACGTAACACTAAATTAACACCTTCATGTAATGCATCAAAATGCTACCTCAATTCCTCTCCTCCATTCTTTGTAGGTAAGTAATATATCAATGGCCTCAAAAGCATATCATTAATCAATCATAATGCTTACTCTTTTAACTCTTTATTGAGCTGTTAGGCTGCAGATTTTACTAATGTTTCCTAATGCAAATTTAGCACTAACATGCTGTAATTTTACTTTTGATACCTACCTTTAATCAAATACTAGTTTTAGAACAGTGTTGTTGTCATGGCCACGCATTGTAAGTTTGAAGCACCAGTTCTATGAAGTGTAAATTAATAAACCAATGTTGAAAGTGCCAAAACTCCTGATTTATTCTACAAATAGTATATAGAAAGGCAACACTTAAAGTTGTAAAGAACATCATGCATAACTTGTATTTAGGGTATGTATTCATTTGAAAGAGACTTAAACTCAAGAATGTTCCTACAGGTATAAAAAATTCTTACTTCAGGTTCGTAACTTTCTTAGTTAAGTTAAAAATAAAATGCATGAATCACATGTGCTATTAAATGAAATTGATCTTGGGTGTGAAAGGTGTGACTCTTGTATCAAAGGCAGATGGTCTTTTCCTGCCTAATGATTTCATACTCTTCTTATCTTACATACTTATTAAACATTTTCAGATGTAAGACCTACAAAATTTGGAAAGTTACTTATGCTCTTGTAAAATGCATGAATTTTCATGCAAACTCAACATGATTTAAGTACTTAATCTCAGAGTATTGTGGTAATTTTAATGTCTTAACAAGCTTATTAAATGTGCCTGTTACAGATTTACATGTGTTTGCTTTATGGAAGCATAAAATATGTAGCTATAGATTTGACAAAATTTTGTCAAAAGCCATTGACAAAAATAAATGTGGAATAATATTACTTTTATTTATGTCTTTGTTTATAGGGAAATATTATTTCAATTAAATAAAACTAAAGCATTGGCTAACTAAAGAATCTATGTTTACAGAAAAATGTATAAAATTAATGTTTTGGGTATGTAAACTATTGCCATGAGATCAGTATTCTTATCTGGCATGCATGATTCCAGCCCACTATTTAGTTTTAAGTATAAGTACTAATAAAACAATCTCTCTTATGAGAAATATTTACCTTTTGAAATATAATCCAATTTTTTATATGAAGTTATAGTGAAGATGCAGTTTCAATGTACAGATGTGTTACTTGAACTTGAGATACTAATGCCAATGACAGATACCAAATCCTTTTTTTATATTATTTTTTAAAATTATCATGTTTTATTTTAAGTCTAGGTAAACATGAAAACTGAAACAGGTAGCACAAGCTTCCGCTTTACCGCATTGATTGCGTAAGTTATATAATTATAACTTATTGGAACATAATTTGGAAAAATGTGTGATGAAATTTTAGGACAAAATGCATTATCTATAGAGTGTAATTGCTGCATATGCCAATGATGATAACAATAAAATTAAAAAAACACATAGAATTAAACTGAAGGCAAAAGCAAAATATATATTGTTTGATGCCCCTTCTATCTGAGAGGAGTTCTCTTGAAATTAGGTAATTTTATAATTGTTTGTAAGCTAATTTAAAAGTTGTTAATATTATTAAATAATTTATTACAAATAATTATGTTTCAATGAATATTAATGCGGATGAAAAGGAGGGTTAGTGAATTTTTCTGAAGATCTGTCACTGCCTCTAGAAGTAATTTTGGAACTGTCACTGCTTCATATTACCTAAAAGTTACCACAAATGGAGTGAAGAATAATTATTTCGTATACAAAATTATTATATTGGTAGGAAAATTCGTTAGAATTTCAATTAATGACTACCATAAATCTCATTCATAGAATTATGGCATTTGTATTACATTGAATAAGAGTTGTACATTGAATGGTACACAAATTCTGATGAATGCTGTCTACATAATGTCACAGAGGGAAGATAATATGAGTTGTTTTTCTTATACGATAATAATGAATTTTTTGTACTCAGTCATACATGAGTATGCCTCTGAAGACTGGAGTTTAGGAGTTTTTTGTAAATAACACTGCTTTGATAGCAGATGAGAACATTTTTGTAAAAATCCTTTTTAATGTGGATACTTGTTCATATGATTTTTGTGCAATGTCAGTATTGCTTCTAGGACTTGCTTTAAGGCTAATAACTTTGTATCAGAAAAGCATGCATTCTAAATAAAATATGAATTTTGTAACAGTAAAATCTAGCTTTTGCAAATTAATATTTTTTAAGAACATAAGGTAATTTATAAGATACAATAAATACCATTATTACCGAATATGTTGTTCATTTTTATTTCTCTGCAATAATATTAATGTTTTCAGATGTAATAAACAACAGTGGAAATATTAAAAAAAAAAAAAAAAAAAAAAAAANNATTAATTTCTTAGCTTTCTGCTCTTGCTTTTAAACTTTTCTCTATCAAGATACTCTCAAATTTGATTTTAAATGCAGTCATGAACAATTGAAAGAATTTTAGTGCTTAAAATTGAAATCTATTTTTAATTGAATGGTTAATCAAACAAGAAGATTGTCTTTTTTATAGTATTGGGTTGAGTTTCCCTTTGGAATAAAGATAAATTAATTACTTCAGCAGCAGTATTATAAATTTAATATTTAAAAGGACACGTTTTGTGGCCTGTTGCATCTATTCATTAAATGGCAAAAAAAAAAAAAAAAAAAAAAAAAAAAAAAAAAAAAAAAAAAAAAAAAAAAAAAGATTAGAAGCAGTTCAAATAAAGTTCCACTTATGACATCAAACTGAAGTTAAGTTAATAAAAGTTAATAATAAAAGAAACAATCAAATATGAACTACAAGGGAAAATGGACAACATGTCCACCCTTTTAGGAGAAACTATTCCAAGTGAATACTGATTACTGAAAATTTCACCCATAGTTTTGTAATAAGCAATTTTTACATTTTTTGGCTTGCGTTTAAAATCCTTTAGAGTAAGTAAAAAAACAACAACAAACAAACCCCCTCACACCAACAAAACTGGCGGAGCAAAACCGGACTAAGCGTCCGATTGTTAATCACGCTCAAAGTCACGCGCAGAGTTTCTCTGCGTGAGAGATGACATTGACATAAGTCCTTCGCTGAGAGTAAGCTTCTCAGTAGCTGCATGTAAGATGACATTGACACATCTAGGCAGCGTAATCTCGGAGTCATGGTGGAGAGGAGTGGGGGAATTACGTTCGCTGATAGCCAGTTCGTCTCGCTCTGTTCCTCGTAGTCTCCGTTGCGCAACGCGTCACGGGCCCGCCTTGGTACAAGGCGTAAACTCTGTTATTCTCAGGTGGCCAATGTGCCGAATCATCTGTACACTGATCATCTGTACACCGCACCGTCTGCCAGCGGCAGCGCCAGCACTGCTCGCAGTGAAGGGAACGCTTGTGGAGTGAATGAGGCGATTCAGCTGTGAAGCTTCGAATATGAATCCGTGAAACCAGCCGCTCCGATAAAAAAAGGTGAGCCTTTGTGTTGCAAAGAAAGTGGCGTGATATCGTGATAGTCATTGGCTAGATAACGGAACAAGTTTATGCATATTCATTGAACCAATGGGTGGTGGCAGAGCTTGTGAAAAGTGACCTTTTTTGTGTGTTTTGTTTTTGTTTGTTTTTCTTCGGAAGTGAGTATTTATGAAAAGTAACAATATTAAAAACATGGTAAATAAATGAATAGATGGGTGATAATGTACTGTGGTAACTCACAATTTCTCCCTAAAATAATGAAATTTAAAATTATTTTTACAGCCCCGTGTTGGGCATGCTATTGTAGTAACTCAGTATTACCTTTTTCTCGTGGGCTAGAAAATGCCGCTCGTACGAGTATTCGGATGGTGAATAATTTAATATATAAGGATTATTTAATATAGTAAATATATAATATATAAGGAAATATTTTTTACTATTCTTACTCAAAAATTAAACAATTTATAATTATATTACTGAAATGCCAGCGACGTTAAGTGTCGGCATGGTAAAATTAATTTATTTCAATTTCATTTGGTTTTAAAGTTCAACTATATTTCATTATATTTTTCTAATGGTTACCCATTTGATGGCGATAGAATCTCTATAAAAAAAACAACACAACAATTCTTTTTCTATCTAAATATTACCTTATAACTAAACATAACGTGGCCTTGTTACAATCTTTTTGTTAAAGTTTTTCTGCCACTTATTGTTTAAACTTTCCTCTTGAAGATTTTCCGAGCAATCTTGGCGTTGTAAACGAAATCAGCGACTGTTCCTTAATTCCATCTGGAGCTCTTCTCATTACCATACTGAATTTAGCTTTTAAGGTTTTGCAACCATTTGCGACCTGAATATTCCACGAATATTACTATTTTGTCGCTAGTAACGTATATTTCATTTTCTTCCCTATTCTCTAAATCCAACATACTTGTGTCCAAACTTTTTCGCTTTCACTTACAAACTGTCTTAACCAATTCACTTCTTTGATTGTTATTCCTGTTCATTGATACGCTCTTATCGCACCGCGACCACATCGATTTCAAAGAGTAGAAATACCGTACTGGCACGAAAGGACATTATTTACTCATCTTTCCAATTTTTTACCAATTGAATATGGGGTCCCGCAAGGCTTGATCTTAGGTCCTATCCTCTTTCTGTTATACGTAAACGATATGCCCTCGTCTATTAAAAACGGAAGAACGGACTATTAGTCCCGTAAGTGTAGTGCACATTTTCGGTAGGTGGTGGACGTGGAGGTCAATACCAGACAGTGACCTCCACCGCGAGATGATGCGATCCGGTACCGACCGACGTGTCAACTAGCAGGTATTTTTCCCATACAGGTATCTCCGGAACAAGCTGAAAGCTTCCATGCTCTCTCTCGGCATACGTGGTAATGTAGTGCATGTAAGTGTATGCGTAAGAAAGAGGCAGAGAGAGGACAAGGAAGAGAAAGGAAAGATCGCGCGCGGTCCGTGGCCTGTGTGTAAGGGTACTGCTCTGGCATTCGCCTGGAGAAACCACAGAAAACTACCGATCAGAGCAACCGGCCGCTAGAATTCTCCTCCAGACAGCGATTGAATTCGACAAATACTTCGATTTTTCTAGGGTAGCTGATGACATTAGGCGTTCGTTTCACTTGTCAGAAAGTGTTGAATGTTTTAACCAGTGGTAAGCACATTTCTGAGGCCACGATCCCCATTGAGGAGGACATTCGAGAATTAATTAAAATATTCATTTTATAAGACAGGAGGCGTAACAATGTTGTGTCATCGGTCACTATAGAAAGATCGAAGTATAGCTATCTAGCTTGAGTTGAAAATCCAGTCACCGTCGGGGCTCGGACCTAGGACCTCCCGGTCGGAGGCACTACACTGACATCAGTTGATGCCCTGAGCCACCTCTTACGATCATATACGCTTCAAGAAAGTAACATTTCAGGAGTATGTTGTTACATTTTTTTGTTTTGTTCTAAGAAGTGACATTTGTTCTACAGATGCATAGATGTCAACTCATGGTGCCCAAGCCTCTTAGCCCTCAGTAAAATTTATGAGATCCCGCTCCCCCCAAATGGGGAAATAATAATTGAGTAAAACGACATAGTAAACAAACATACGGAAAACAATGCGAAGTTGTTTATAAAACAGGAACTTTAGGATGACATGCATATCCGGAAGATATCCTCGCAAACGTATTTCAGATTCGTAAATATCATGAAGAATGGCAAGTCTAATTTAAAAACAAAACTAGATATGCTCAAACCGCACGTACTTCCTTGCATTCTTAGAAACAGTTACGTAATATAATACTATTAATACATAACATAATATTGTATATAATATATGATATAATATTGTATTACAGCAATTTTTCCCCTACTAACACATCAGCTATTACTTAAAAAGTCCAATTCAAACGCGTTTGGGGTGCATATCTGCATTTATTTCGGAAGTCAGAAACAGTGCGCATTTCTTACTTTTGCAGATGAAACAAAAACGAATAAATTTATCTGTTACAGTATATGTAGCACATTATACACAAAAGCAAGAATAATTCCACACAAGCTTGCCTTGAATTCAACGAAGTGAACTTCCAATTTTTAAATGCCATAATAAGCGATCAAAGTAGACGAAGTGTATTTGCTAGTTCAAAGTTAAATTTATTACCTTCCTTAATTATATTCCCTTTCTTAAGAGTATAGTCAATTGGAAGTGGAAGAAGCTAGATTATGAAGATGACAAGGTACCTGCTTTTGAAACTGACATCCAGACACTAAGAAATTAATAGGTTCGGGGACATACTGTGTGCCCCCCCTAAATATTTCAAGTTGGTGCCTCTGCAGTTGTGCAGTTGTAAGAGTCTCCTTCCCCCTCTTTTCCTATTCTCAGAGATGTCATACTGCTATCCAACTTCGCGAAGCATATATTTCCCCCATTTCGCTCCCCTAAATTGATTTTTCTCTCAAGTTTAATTCTTCTTCTTTGGTCCTATCTTCCATATACGGAAGTTAGGTGACCCATAACGGGTTTTCTTGGGATAAATTTTCAGGGTGTTCTCCCGTTGCCTTCCCTGATATGATGATGATGATGGGGTGTGAAGGATGAACACAATACAACGATGCTCGAGGCGGAACTCAACGCCGCTGATCTTTCGGTACGAGATCGCTACGGCACTACTGCCTTAGCGATCTCGGCCACCGGATCGGCCAAGTTTAATTACGGCGTCATTATTCCAGGTGTTTCCCGAAATGCGCGGCATTTTCACAATAACGGACGTCTGCATCTTCGCTGTCACCGTCGCAACATGTGCGTATGTATACCTTTGGATCCAGCTGAAGACCTTCTCCAGACGGGGGGTAGTGGCGCTCCCGGCCTACCCTGTGGTGGGAAGCTTGGGGCCTGTCATCTTCCGCAAGATATCGTTCTCCGAGCAAGTCGGAAACCTGTACAAACTCCTCAAGGGTCACAGATTCGGAGGACTTTTCGAGTTCCTGAAGCCCGTACTGATGCTGAGAGATCCGGACCTTATAAAACTCATCACTGTGAAGGATTTTGACCATTTCGTCGACAGGCATAAGCCCATTACTGAAGAATGTGATGATATGTTTGGGAAGAGTGTGTTTGGTCTAGAAGGTAAGAAATTCTTATTTTAAATTTCTCGTATTACACTCACATGCGTAAGTGTAATCGATTTTTGAAAGATGATAAAAAACTTACGCTTGGATATCCTGTAAACGGTAGCTATTACATTAATTTCTACTGATAGAATGATTTATTGGGTTTGAACCTGTTCTACACAATACTTAGAAACAATTGCGTTGTAAGGAAACAAAGATTCGCGTATAAGAATTGGTTTATCTAAAGCAAATGCTTAATGCATTTATACAAATGACGTTGGTATTGATGGTTTGCATTTTATTAACGTCACGAACATCGTTATTTACACATTAATTACAAATGACTGAAATTTTGACTTGAGGCCAACGCAGAGCGGAGCATTTACTGTGCAAGCTAAGTCTTGACAGAGGCTCGAACCTGAACAGACCAATAGCAAGGCCGCAACGGCTGGAATCATAGCCACTTGACACGAGATTGCGCCAATGTGATCTTTTTCGGAAAGTGCGAGCATTGATTTGTTTGAGACGCCGTCACCTACCAATGACATCTCGTTATTGGATCATGTACTTTTAGTCCCGTCGGCAGGTACTGAAAAAGAAGGGTTAACTGGGAAAGGTCATAAAAACGTTTTCTTTGAGTATGCTGTATGTTCCCAGGCACTAGTTAAAACCCGCAAGTTTTCGACCTCCCAGACTGTGCTAACTCCGGGAGGCCCGAAAAACCGATATTTCTTCTGACTTGTTTCTTTTTTCTCTATAGCTCTTTAACCTTGTAAAAATATTCAAATCAATGTTAAAGATAATAAAATTTCCTACAACATTTGTATAAAGCATATTTATTAAAACCAATTACCAAGCAAGCTACAGGTTTTCGCAAAAACTCAATTTTTCCATTCTTAAAAATGTATGCAAAAATATACGTGTTTGTGAAATTATAATCAACCTATAATAAATGTAAGCATTATTACATGTAATACTATTACTATATTTATTATCTCTGATCGTCGGTGTAAACATTGCCTCATAAATGTATCCATTGTCGAAAATATTAATATAAAAAAAAATAGTTGGATTTGTATGTGTGTGGTCAAGTTCCAGCTTTACTCTTCAACACGGGAGCAATGTCATTTCATGAAAACTTGATAAATGGTATTACTGTGAAATTACAATGGAAGTTAGCACGGGGTCTGGGAAGTCGAAAACTTGGGGATTTTGCTTGTGCCAACATACTCAAAGAAGTTTTTATATCCGTTTTCCAGGTAAAATGTACACACCATTTTGTTAGGACAGAGGAACATCCCGGGTTATCGTATCAGCCTCAGTATCTACTGTTTATGTAAAGATATGAAATTAAAGCATTTTGTTTAAAAAAGCTGGATTTTTCAAATCTTTCGGCAAGCAACAACGTATCAAGAAAAAAATATTAATTTTTTGTCTCGATACGTTATTGAAACTTTATTAAAGTTTCCAAAAAATAAAATATTAACTCAATTTCATTGAAATAATAATAGAAGACTGTTTTGCTCGTCTACATTACAAGAGATGTTGGAAATGCGCTCCATTCTCTTTAACAGAGGCGTGGACTTTTTCCGTGCGGTTCACTATGGCATTCTGAACATCGGTCTCACATATGAAAAAAAACCCCGCGAATATTAACAATATTTTTTTCGATATTGTGACGAAACCGTGAAGAGTGGTCGGTTTATTTTCTTACACGTACCAAACTCCTCCCTTTTTAGTGCTCGTACAGCGCCCATGATATAAGAAATAGTAACCCGCATATTATTATTGTTATTAATTAAATTTGTTCAAAGAATTGGTTGCCCCGACCGCGACTCGAAACCGGGCCTTCTGGTTTACGCCCAGCTGCTCTGCTAACCACTAAGCTACCGAGATTTAATAATAAAAATTATTATTGTTATTTATTATTGTTATTTATTATTATCATTGTTATTGTTATTGTTATTATCATTGTTATTGTTATTAATTTAAATCGCATGTTCGTTTGTTCAGGTGCGCGATGGCGTCATATGCGGGCGACGCTCAGCCCGGCTTTCACCGGCAGCAAGATGAGGAGGATGTTCGAGTGGGTGAACCAGTGCGGACGCACGCTCGCCAGCTTCTTGTCGAGGCGCTGCTACGAGCACGAAGGTACGTTAGAACGCTACTCTCCTTCCTACGAGATATCCCAGAGGAGACATCCGAATATTGCTAAGCGTTGAGATTAAATCTCACAGAACATGAAGTAGGCTGCTTAATTTTAATGTGGAGAATCATTCTGTCAATTGTTCAATTGAATTTAATATAGATCTCGAGTTACTGGTTACCGATGCAACGAAGTTGGGGTTCCCAGGAGAGATAAATCTCCAAAGATGTAATAAATTTTCAAAAAGGTCAGAATCAGTAGCTTGAGAACAAAACTCGTGGTCTACAGAACTCATCTGTTCCCACTAAACTCGTGTTCCTTTAGGAGCGTGAAATCCTGGTTTTAAGCGACTAGGACGTACATTTTCTGAGTTATACACGATTGTAATGTATGTTGAAGTAATCTGTTCCCGAAGTTATGATGTAACATTGCGGATGTAGAATGAAGTAACATTGAGGGGCACGGATCTTCATCACTTCATCATCAATCTGATTCACCCACCGAATTGCCGCTCACCGATACTCTTTTATTCGTGTGACCGGAAATGTATCTGGTCCTACATAGATACAGTAAAAATTCGCGCACCGTACCCTCTAGTACAGGGGTGTCCAACTTGCGAGGCCTCGAGGGCTACAACTAAATACTTTAATATAATAAACTCTAATATGTAACTTTAAACGTTTATATGGTTGCGAGCAATATTTTTTTTTATAACTCAGGCGATCCTCGTATTTTCACCGTATTGTTGATCTCGGTACTTTGCCTGGCTGCTCTGAAACGGACAAGGGGGGTGCGTACGTGATATCATGCGTAGTACAGTGAAACACATTGGTACGATTTTGAATCTCTGAATTTACTAGAAAAATAAATTCCTTACTCTAAAGTTATCCTAGTTTTACATTAGAGTGGGTGTTGACCACAGCAGGGTATGTGCGTCAGGCGCACTATTTACTCATCAAGAATGACTTTCTTTTTTGACTAACAAGCGCGGGCCACATTATATAGCATTGCGGGCCGCCAACCCTGCTCTACTATGACCCTCTGATCCTGGCCGTTGCATCGCGAGGTTGTTTTCTTTAGAATGAGAATGTTGATATTTTTGTGCATTTCAAACACAGACACAAATTGCTTCTTGTTTCCAATGTTTTTTCAAAAAACAAAATATTGGAATTTCAAAATTTGAAAAAATCCTAGAGCATAAAAATATTTTTGCATGGTTGACGTGCACAAACATTGCACTAAATTCTGCTTACAACATCTTTTTGGAGGAAGTGGCTTTGGTAGCTTAACGAATGTCAAGACACTGTTTCCGACGCGCAGTTCGGGGTGGTTCGGGGCGGTTCGGGGCGGTTCGGGGCGGTTCGGGGCGGTTCCGCCCGGTTCCGGCCGGTTCCGGAGCGTTCGGGCCCCGGTTCTGCTTCGTTCGGGCGGTTCGGGCCGGTTCGGCGTTCGGCGGTTCGGGGCGGTTCGGGGCGGTTCGGGCGGTTGCGTTCGGGCGGTTCGGGCGGTTCGGGGCGGTTCGGGCGTTCCGGCGGTTCGGGCGGTTCGGTCGTTTCGGCGTTCGGGCGGTTCGCGGCGGGTCGCGTCGTTTCGCGGGCGGTTCTTCTCGGGTCGTTCGGGCGGTTCGGGGCGTTCGGGTCGTTCGGTCGTCGGTTTCGGTCGGTTCGGTCGGTTCGGTCGGTGTGTTCGGGTCGTTCGGGCGGTCGGGGCGTTGGGCCGAGTGCGAGGCGGGTTGGGCGTGCGTGACGGAGCGTGGCGGGCCGGCCGGGGCGGGCGAGGCGGGGCGAGGCGGGCGAGCGGGGCGAGGCGGGCGAGGCGGGGCTGGGCGGGGCGAAGTGAGAACGACGGTTCGCTCTTGCGTTGGCCCCTCAGCCCCGCGCCCCGCCCTTTGCGTCGGCAGCTAAGACGGGCAAGATGCTGGTGGTGGAGATGAAGGACCTGTGGGGGCGGTACGCCAACGACGTGATCGCCACCGCGGGCTTCGGCGTGCAGGTGGACTCGCTGCGCGACCCGGACAACGAGATGCTCGCCAACGTGAAGACGCTCTCCGACTTCGGCGGCGTGCAGGCCTTCATCTTCATCGGCTACTTGATCAGCCACAAGCTCATGAAGGTGAGAGAGACCTTTTTGTTTGTTGATGCACCATTTCGTGTTTTATGGCGCGCGTCAAAGGTTGTTAGATCCGTAAGTGTAGTTCATTTTTATAAACTTGCTCCTGCCCCGCTGTCACGTGATGTCCGGTGCCGACCTACACATCAGCTTGTGGAGATCCCCCCTCGGTGTATTGCTCCCTACCGCGGCGCTGCCCCAGCCGAGACGAGCTCTAATATTGTAGCCTGTGGCACAGAAAATCACCATTCAGAACAGCCAGCCGCTAGAATTTCTCTTCCGGACTGCAGTAAAATTTCACTCGGCATTCTATGTAGCGAGTACCGAAAACGCGCCATCGTCGGGAGTAGAACCGTAAGACGACTGCAGTAAAATTTCACTCGGCATTCTATGTAGCGAGTATCGAAAACGCGCCATCGTCGGGTGTAGAGCCGTAAGACCTCTTGTTCAGTAACCGCTACAATAACAGATGTTGCCCTGGACCTTCTCAGCACGAAGACTAGGGACGGGGAAGAGTGGGAAGAGTGGCGTAGAGTTCAGAAAACGTTAAAAGTTTTAAAAAATCTGTCATCGAATTCACAGTATGGTAGTCATAATAGCCAATGAATTTACAGTGTGACATAATAATAGAGATTCTCTACCTAACCAGTTGAATGGCTAATTAAAGAAAATATAAGAGCTCTACATGTAAATGATGTAACTTAAAGCCATCGGTTCACAAGATCTTCCAACGAACCCAAGGAATACTGAGGTTAACTTCGTATAAAAAAAGTCTGCTCCACTCGGATATGCGCCTTCTGAACCGCTCCTAGAATCTGACGAAGAAAGGTGATATCAATATTTTTGAAGTCCCCGTCCACGCAGGAAAGAACTAAAGAGTAGTGGCAGGTTCATGTCAGTTGGGTTTCGATGAATGAAGTGGCTCCTTTGGAAAATGAGGTCCCTCAATAGGTGGAGCTTCCTCGACTGGATGTACTTGGTACTATAAGCGCTCAGTTTGTTTATTCTCAAGCTCCCTAAGCGCAGAATAGCGTGGACCGTTGAGAAGCGCATGTCTGATTCGAAACGTTTCGTATCAATTTCCGACGCTGTCATCATCAACAGGATTTGTCTCGGCTGTCTCATGTACGAATACAATACGTCACGGCTGTCATAGCAACCGACGCCTGACCGCGCTTAAAACAGTGAACTTTCCAGTAAGGAAGTAAAGGTTTTCGTCAATCTTGAAACGCGTCATTTCGCGTGGTAGAGAAATGTTCGTTTGTGTGCCGGCAAATGGCGAGCACCAGAGAATTCGGGAAGGAAAAAAACAGTACTTATGCGTAATCTGCTTCATTATTATTTATTACATTTCGGTCATTTTTCGGCAAGGTGCTACTTCACTTCCTTTAGAAGACAAGTTGCTTCTGACACTGAGTCAATCACTTAAGACTGTTTAACCCTCGCCGTTACAGATGCTGGTTCTCTGTTTGGTCCCTTCTACGAGATAAAATACCCAAGAGCATTTTAATGTTTGCACACGTGTGTAGTGGGTAATCTTTTTGTGGGTATGTTTTTGATTATTTGAAAATGATGGAAAACGAGTGTTGGGTGGGACTCTGTGGGAAAAGTACGCTCTTGTCCTTTTACTTTTAATTTAGGGAATAAAATTGTGTGTTGCATTTTCTTCCATGGTGCTTGAGCGCTATCTGTCAGTCTTAAAGTCAGTACTATCTGCTGGTTTTAATATTTCAACTTCGTGATTTACAATTTAAGATTTTTCGCGCAACTCTTACAATTATAGTGAGAAACCATAGGATTCCATAGGAGCCAGTTAAGAAATCACTGATTTAACTCAAGGTAGATAACTTGTAGAAGCCAGTTTAGGAATCACTACTTGCAATTGTATTTATTTATCCATATAATGGGCCAAGGAAAAGTTAAATAATTAAAATTTCGAAGTTAGCTCGTTGTTTACAATTATTTTTATTCTTGTGTGTAATATTAACGTGAGAAGTGTTTGAAGGGAGTACATTACGAATTATCGATCTTAAGTTTGCACTTTTGGTAACACCTATTCACTTCAAAAAAGTTTATCATTATAAAAGCGAAGCAAATTGCTCATTGCATCGAATAGTGTGTCGTGTATTCAACAATTTATGTTCAGTCATTTAGTTTCCTTAATTAATAAAATGTTTCGTTAAACGATTTAATCTATTAAATAATTCAATATCTTAGTTTGACCCAAGTCCTTCGTCAATAAGATCAAGATGGGTATAATATTATAGTAAGATCACACTTCCTCTAAATCAGAGGTGTTAAAATTTATGATTAGCTGGAGGCTTGCTGTGGCTGATGTGGCTTAACAACCCACACCCTTCAATTTAGTAATATTTATGGGTACATTTTATATTAAAAAATAATTTATAAATTATAAATAAAATAATTTTGAAAAAAAATGACTTACGAATACTTACCTTTCAGGCGCCATCGCCTCTTATTCATTCGTTCGTTAACGAATTTGCTTTCTCATTCAATCGTTTATTCGTTCGTTCATTTCTTCGTTCGTTCATTTCTTCGTTCGTTCATTTCTTCGTTCGTTCATTTCTTCGTTCGTTCATTTATTTCTTTGCTCATTTATTCATTCGTTTCTTCATTCGTTTATTCATTTACTCACTCTGTCATTTATTTCTCTTATTTTACCCTTTCTTATTTCCCTCCTCATTTATTCCCGCATTTTCTTTCATTTTTATTTATGTGTGCATGTATTTATTTCCTTATTTGTTCGTTTTCTCGCTTGTTTTGTGCGCGGGCAGCTGCTGCACGTGCCGCTGATGCCGTTCAAAGTGAAGGCGTTCGTGCGCGACCTGGTGGAGCAGGCCATCACGATGCGCGAGCGGGAGGACGTGGCGCGGCCCGACGTCATCCACCTGCTGATGCGGCGCCGCGCCTCCGACGCCAGCGCGGGTGCGCGCCCCCCGCCCCCGCCCTCGTACGACCGCAAGCCCCGCGAGGAGGCGCCAGGTGAGGACCGGCTGCGGCAGGGGGGTGGATGCATCGAGAGCCGAGAAGGTTCCTGGCTGCATTGCAGGGGTGTGGTGGCGCCGCTTTTCGTTCATTGGTTTTCAAATTCTTTCCCAGGTTGTTCTCATTGAATTTAGACGATGAGTTACTTCAGATAAAAAGCGTATCTGTGTAGTATTAGCAATAAATTAACCTTTTCTGTTTTGTCACGCGTCACTGATTCGTTGAAATCTCTAATTTTTGAGAATTACTGAATTCGTTTTTTTCGGAGACTTCATGATGTCTGTTGTTCAAATATGTATATTTAAATGAGGTCGGGTGTAATTTTTACTTTCCCGTATACGTACGTATATACGGAGTACGTAGTATAGCGGAAGTTATGAAATTCTGCGGACAATCGATTTCGAGATTTCAACAGAAATACGCGTTTTGGAGTCCTCTTAAACAGAAAAAGTTTTGTGTTTTTTCAAAACGTCCATCTGAGAACACCACTAGCACCTAAACCATTTGACTTTTTCCAAAATGGGCATACATCAGTAGATCTGGCTCCATTGAAGGCCCTGCGATTTTGAAAACGTTTCTTCAAAATTTGAGGGTACTTTATTTGAATCCTTCCGGTCATTTTCAAAATTATCTCAAAAATAGCTCCATTTTTTTCTTAATATTTCTTGTAATATTGTAGTAAAAGACGGTCGGACGGTCGGACGGTCGGACGGTCGGACGGTCGGACGGAGGGACGGTCGGTCCACCGGACATTTTTAAAAGAACCAGTATTTGGGTATCAGGGGTAAAAACGTGTATTTCCATTGAGATCTTGAAATCGGTTTTGCGCAGCATTTCGTAACTTTCCCTTTACTATGTATATTACTCCGTATATACGTATGTATACGGGAAAGTAAAAATGTGAGAACAAAAGATGGCGCGGGTCACAATTTCGATGTACTCTGAAATTTCGAAAATAATTGCCTCTACCTTTTTGGTCTCGCTTATAGATTTTCGATGTTTTACTTTATTTTTTTATTTTTTCTTCAATTTTGTCGCAGACTGTACGGCACCGGAAATGTGTTCACAATTCGAAGACTCAAGGCTCTGTAGCATGCGCGGGATGTCATTAGTATTATTTGCAAATAGCGATTGTCAGCAATTCTGACGGCCGCCTGGCGATGTTCGACGCGATTGCAGGGTCTGACACGGTATTATATGCCTCTCAACTCTGTCAACTTGCTTTCCACCATTTGCACCCGAATCAAGTAGATTTTTTCTTCGGCAATTCTTAAAAATATCTTCAGTGCTTGGACTCACTTTAAGTATTATTTTCTGGTCGTTATACTTGTATAAACCGTCAAGATACCGCTGTGCAGGAAGGAAACGTTTTTCTACAAAACGACATAAGAATCAGTTTTCATCTGGATCGGAGCTAATATTTTTTATTTAACATGAATTGGTTCATCCAATGATGAATTATGACTTGTTCTAAAACGCAGAGAATTTATTTGTTTCCAGCTCTTCGCTTTTGGCCGTATCTGGGCATCTTGACGTGATCTATTGCACTGAGGAAAAGGCATAGATTAAATAAATTAAAACGGTTGAAGTTATGGTACTTTTTAATTGTAACATCTAAAATTGAAACATATTTGTATTCTAGGCTCAATATGTAATATATGCTATAATGCAATCTACACTGTAATATCAATTTTTGTTGAAATTACAAAACTTACTTAACACAAACCTTAGCCTTCGCCGGTATTCGACTTGCCCGGATAGCTCCGACGAGACGGGAACGTTGGTTCCCCCACATGCCTGGTTGCCACTAATGAGTGTGAAAAGAAGCGAGGCGATACTCATAAGCACAAGATAATTTAGAAATCTTTTAATTTTTCAAACATGATTGAACGAGAGCAAATTTAGATGAGCAAATTATAAGAAGAGCAAATTTAAGAAAAGTGTAAACAAAATTCGGTAATAGCGCGGCATGTATCAAAATAACAACAGATTAAGACCGTTAAAGGGCGAGCGTCAGCACGATAATAGCATGGGTTGCCTCGTAATGTGTATTGGGAAGTGTACGTGCCTTTGCAGTTTTTATTTTCATAATGTTACGACATATTCTAAAATTTTCGACTTAAATCAGTTTTATATACCCCCGTAAGATGGGATTTCCTGTCCAGCAGTAGCACATTTACGGGTTCTTAAGCTTTGCTTAGGTTATTAATAGTGGGTGATATTAAGGATACTAGCAAAATACACGGCGTTGCTTGGGCTTTCTTGATTGACTGATTGATTGTTAGTGATTCCGGGCGAGTCAACCATTAGGTAAGTAATCCCGTAAGTATAGTTTTTTTCGGGAAGTGATCTTCTGCTGTATGGCGAGAACAGACTCTAACCTATCGTTCGCTAGCGGGGCTTTCCCCAACCAGGTATCTCCCACCAGCAGGGCACCGCCAATGCCGGGACAAAATCTAAGCTCCCAGCCGGCCCCCGGGAATGTGTGGTAGTGTAGTGCATGTTAGTGTGTGTAAGGAGTGCAAATGGGGACAAGGAGACGAAGGAGAGATCTTGCGCGCTCCATCGCTCGATTGTTAGGGTACTTCTCCGGCATTCGCCTGGTGTTGGTCAGAGAAACCACGGAAAACTATCGATCAGAGCAGCCGACTGCTAGAATTCTCCTCTAGACAGTGACTGAATGCGACGTAACTGACAATCTAGTGTCGGAAATCATGCCATCGTCAGGACCTAAACCTAGGACCTCCCGGACAGAGGAACTGCAGTGACATCATTAGATGCCCTGAGCCATTTCTCCTGGTCCGGTATTTCTTCATATTGAATCCTTTGAAAGAAGAAAATATCAATTTTATATACTTAAACCACGATGTTTATAGTTATTTTTTATGTGATTGGTTAACAGTTTCATAAAATACTATATTTTTTTTCATTTTATGTTTCTGTACATTGCTAAAGAATTTATCTATCTGCCTTTCCTCAGCGTCTCGAAGGATTCATTTACTCTACGTTTACCGAAGTGGACAACATGTACTCAACACAATACATTTTTTAAAAAAGAATATTGGTTTTTAAATAATAATCCTTACAGTTTATGTATTTGTCTGTTGAGCTATTCTTAGTATTTAGATAGCCCTTAGGGGTTTGTTTTTTCATATTTAAAATATTAATTAATACAATATAAATACTTAATACAATTAAATATATATTCCATTATTAAATACTAATTTCTACTATCAAGAAAAATTCAAACTTAAAAGACAATACATGAAAAATATTGAAAGTATTTTTCAATTAAAATAAAAATGACCTTCGTTACTCGTAAATAGGAAGTATATCGTCAATCCATGTAATAATAAACTTATAATATTAAAATATTCAAGAATACGTATTTATTTTGAAATAAATTGTGAGTCCAAAACGGACCCAGTCAGTAAAACGTGGAAAATGTTTATCTTAGGAAACAAAGGGTTTAAAATCTCCATTTAAATGTCCGACCTTTTGGTAATATTTGAAAATGCGGGAAGGCTCCGAAAACGTAACGGCGTGGTGGGTCGGCGCAGGGCTGAACAACGAGGACATCGCGGCGCAGGTGATGGTGTTCTTCCTGGCGGGCTTCGAGACGACGTCCACGCTGCTCAGCTTCATGTCGAACCGCCTGGCGGTGCTGCCCGGCATCCAGGAGCGCCTGCGCAGGGAGGTGGACGAGACCCTGCAGCGCCACGGCGGCCGCGTCACCTACGAGGCCGTGCAAGAGATGAAGTACCTCGACATGGTCATCTCGGGTGAGCGCGCGATGAGCGATCACGAGGCACGGAAAAGGTGCAGATGGGACCCCCATAACAATAGTGACCAAACTACCCTCCTAATTTGGAACTAAATTTTCAAAATGTCAATCCCATCCATTCCCTAGTCCCATCCCTCCCTTTCCTTTCCTCTTCAAACAACAGCTAGTCTGGGGTACGCAGAGGAATCCTTCCGGTCCCAGCCCACCACCCACGACATCACACCCGCCGTACCCACCACCCATACTTAACCTGCCTCACTCACCCTAAGCAGGGAAGAGCGTACAGCGCACGTCCTCCCAAGAAATGTCATCAGAACACGCGATGGGACCACAATGCGCGATAAGCGATCACGAGGGACGGAAAAGGTGAAGATGTAACCAAATACGTTGTTATACCCAAGTTGGCGGTTTCAAACCCGATCGAAGCCGTGGATTTTTAAGAGGTAAAGCTGGAGTAGATTTACTTGCATGGCTAAATGAAGCCTCTGTTTAGTCGTCCAAAAAATAGCTGCTTTCTCTGCTAGTGAGTGAAAGGAGTGTAGCGAAATTTGCGTGGTCAGACGGAAGAGCAGGCCTCATGGCCTGAGTCTCGCCACTTACAATAAGGCATAAATTCAACTCAATTCAATTCAATTCAATTCAAGTGCAACTTGGCTCCCTTCCGTCTCCTGGGCTTCTCTCCATCGCCGCTTTCGTCTCTTCTGCTCTCTTCCTCCACCACTTCTTGTTGCTCCTTCTATCTTTTCTGCTTCTTTCCCTGATTCTTGTGCTGGACACAATGTCTTTTCTGCTCCTTCACCTCCATTTCTTCTACTCATCTCTATTCCTTCCGATCCTCACCGTCCATCTCCTTCTGCTCGTGCTTTTCACCTCTTCTGTTCCGTTTAACCCCATCTCTTTTGCTCCTCTCGGCTCGTCTCTTTTGACCCTATCCGTTTGTATCTGCTGCTCTTCCCGCCGTCTGTTCTGCTCCTTGCCTCTCGGGCTCTCCTGCTCTTCCCCTTCCCTCTCTTCTCCTCCTTCACTTCTGTCTTTTCTGCTCCTTTTCCTACCCGTTTCTTCAACTCCTCGAATCTCCCCTCTTCTTCTCTTTCCTTTTCGTCCCTTACGCATTAATTTTTCGCATTGATTTGTTTCTTTGAAGAACTTTATTTTATTTGGTTGGTTTCTCTTATTATTTCTCTTAGTCTTTCTCTTATTATTTGATTATGTTTGCACCTCTGCCCTATTTATCAAATAAACAGTAAATGAAGTGAATCCATATTTCATTCTCGTAGGCTAGTTTCGATGTTGGTGTATCGAACTCGTATATTCAATCACTTAATAATACATTATCCTATTGAATATGATGTGCAGGAATCGATTTAATCTGGACCATATTAAGCTGAGTTAGGTGTTGATGGCTATATAATAAATATCAAAATTCTTCGGAATAATAAACTTGATATTTCTAGTATTGAATTTAAAATTTCCATCCTTTCGTTTGACGTCAGACACGACATATTTTCCCCAATATGCAAATTCTACAAAATCATTCGCAAATAATTGATTTTTAAACACCTGGCGTTCACAAAATGTCGATAAGATAATGCTTCTCAAGTGCTTGCAGTGCAAGTCATTTTGAAGAGCCCGCACCGCGAGTCAGCTGAGATTTGAGTAGCGAACTCTGTTGAGAGAAAGACGAACTTTCTGGCTACGTCCAGATATCTTGCGGAGTGAGGTTTACAGATGGCGCTAACATCTTCAACACGAAGAAGCGAACGGGTGATACAGTATGTTGTAGTTCTTTTTTATTGTACCTTCTTGTACCTTTCTTCGAAAAGAAGAACATTAATTATGTTTACTTTGTATGCTGCATGAGAGCTACGCAGAACGAAAGAACATGTTCACACAATGATCATATTTGAAAAAAAAAGTTTTTGTAGAAAACAGTTAATATTATTTTTACTATTATAAATAGAAATAAAGATAAATATATTTAAACTATAAAATGGGTATAACTCGGTGGTAGCTAATGACATAAGATAATATAGCTAACATGCAAATTATACAATAATAATAATGGTGCAACAATACGCATAGAAACAATAACAACAGCTGATAAAATAACAACAACCACAATAATAACAATAATTAAAAATAATGATATAAAAAGTGGCTGATACATAAAACTAAATTATCTTAAGAAAAAAAAAATTCTATAATATAATTCCGCACTGGAAGTTTGTTCAATTAAGACTGCACTGTCACTTCTCTTCACTTCTCTTCACTTCACTTCACTTCACTGTACTTCACTTCACTTCACTTTAATTCTTTCCTTCATAATTGGTCTGCTCTTCACTGCAGGATTCCTCATTTCACAATCTATCACTTATGCATCGCTCTATAACCCACTATTCTCAGTTAAGTCACTCTTTTACTTAATTATACCCTAAATTAATTTCCTAAATTGTTGAACGCTTCGAGAAAAGGCTTCAAAGGTTTTGCAGGCAATCTATTCCACTCTGTTATCGTTCGATTTGTGAAAGAAAATTTCCGACATCCGTTCTCTGCGGACTTAAATTTATTTTGTGACTGTGATATCCTCTACTGATGTATTTAGGAATACTTAGCCGCCGATTAATGTATTTCCAAGCTTGATTACTACTATAAGCTTTATTCAAAGCGCAGAGTCTTGTTACTGATCGCCTGTTTTCGAGTGAATCTCATCCTGCCATTTTCTTGTTCCTAAAAGTAAATTTAGCTGCCCTACGCAGAATCCTTTCCAAATTTTACACTGTATAATTTTGTGCGGATCCTAACAAATTGTTTCATATTCTATTATCGGACGAATAAGCGATCAATAAGCAATTTTCTTCGCGTTTGACGTGTTCTTTATTAAGGTGCATATTAAAAAGTGAAGAGATCTCCAGGATTTTCCTACAACAAAATATATGTCTTTTCCAGCTTAATTTACTATTGAAATGTATTCCTAGGCGTTGGAAAGAGGAAACTCTCGGAATAATGTCGTTATTTAAACGGTAATTTGTTTCACTGTAATTAAGTGATGGATTTCTAAAAGTGATGGATTTGCTTTAGAGCTATATTTATAGTCATTTCATTATTTTCCGCCCAGTAACATAACACATCAAGATACCGTTGCAGCATTTCTTTGTCTTCTTTCCAATTCATACCACGATATATTATGAAATCGTCTACAAATAGCCGAACATTTGAGATTGAGTGTGAAGGCATATCATTGATGAAAGCTAAAAATAGAAGAAGTCTAATTCCCCTGCGGTATTTCTGACGTAACGCTTGCCCCGGAAGGTAACTTTAGACCGATTCGGACTTGCTGTTTTCGGTCTTGCAGAAAGTCGCTAATCCTCGCCACCACCCTGGAATCGTGCCTGAATTCATTATTTCGTGTACTAGCCGATCGTGGGGAACGACATTGAACGCTTTGGCAAAATCTATAACTATTGCGTCTACTCTCAATTTCATCTGCTAGAATCTGAAATAGCGTGACTACCTGACTTTCGCATGAGTAACCACTTCTGAACCCGTGTCTTCATCATGAAGCCATTTTTAGATTTCCCTTTCTTGCCTAATGTAACTCCCAACTACAGGCTCCATAAGATTGCAGGCCATTGTCGTTAGACTTGGAGTGAAGTGTTTGGAGATTGCCCTCGCGCTAATATCCATATCTGCTTTGACGCATATAAATACTCCGCCCCCTCTTCCATTTCTATGACTCTTAAAGATCGTGTGATGGGAATGAAAAATTTCAGATTTCATTTCAATTTCCTCAGTTAGTCACGTCTCAGTCCCCATTACTATCTCTTTATTCATTATACTACGCCTCCGCCGTCTTTCTTGCCGCGGTCTCCGCCGCCACCATCACACCATTCTCTGGTCGTCACATTCCATGTAGGTATGTGTCCAATACCTGGTCATGCAAGCACCCCAACTTCCATGCACCTCTGTAGTTCAAATGAAGCCCGTCCCGTCACAAGTCATCTTACCCGAGCGTATGATTGGGGTCCACGAAAAAGCCATTGAAAATGTCACATGCGCACAGTAAACCGCGATTTAAGCCCCATGTTATTCTAATATGCACATCATTTCGGCACATAATCCCTGAAACGATCACCCTAGCATTTTTGTACGTAGCCTAGATGGTCTGCCCAAGTTCAACACACTGGTAAATAGTATCCGACATGGGTTGCCGTTTCTGAGCGTTTGTGCCTTTGAAATGAACAAGTACCACTTCTATTTCGTCGTTTTGCTCGGCTTTTTTACTACAGAGGTAATTTGTCGATTCCAGTGAAAAAGAAACATCTGCTTTTTTTCTCCAACACACCGCCGCTGTGCCGCAGCATGGAGTATTCTATCACCGTAACTTTTGCGGTATACGGAACATCTGACTGAGTAGACTCATTGGCATTCGGCCGCGCTTTTCTCGCCTCTTCGTCGCGTGGGGCATCCCGATCTTCCTTACCTTTAACAACACCTTCCATCTCCTTGATTTTTCGTCAGTTCTCCAATGTGTGTATGAGCCTGAGCCAGATCTGCTTCCAATCTGGGTATTCTCTGGTCACTCCCATCGCACATGGAGCATGTCTCCGCAGCAGCCTGCACAGCGGGGCCAGGGTTTTGCTCGTATCACAAGGAGGCTGGCCAAAACAGCTGCACAAAATAGTGTAAGGGTCATTTACAATGCAAACGTAAACATAAGCATAATGCGTAGAAGTAAACATTAACATAAGTGATAGACTGAAATATTCATACTGTCTAACATAAACGTAAGCAAAATAAGTTTTTTTGGCTATGAGACATTCTAGTTTATTGTTGGTTGGATGTCAGAATCAATTTCGAAGTATCGACTGTGTCCATGGCCCATATGGCATTAGTTCGTCTACTGACTTGAATTATATTCGATCTTGATTTTGAGTTAACCATCCTGTGAATTCGTTCATTTCTTTCTTACTTAATCATAAGCACACATGCTTGAAGCTTGCAAGCTTTTAAGTTAAACGTCTTACTTGTTATGCTTATGCAACACATTGTGAATGATCCGCTTTATGGACGTAGTCCTAACTTTTATGTTAATGCCATGCTTATTTATATTTGCATTGTGAATGGGCCTTAACAAACACTGCCTAGTCAAACAAGAATATATTCCATTTGTCCCGCCAAAAAACGCCGGACAGGACGGATGCGCGCAGCCCACGCGTCAACGCGGCGCCCAGTCCAAAGCTGAGGTCCTTCAACCCATGGTCTTCCACTTCACCGAGGCTAAGAAAAGGCGTCCGCACGCGGACGACTACCTGTGAATTGAATTGAATTAATGCTTATTTTACGTGGCGAGACTCAGGTCATCAGGCCCGCTCTTCGTCTGACCACGCAAATTTCGCTCCGTCCTTTCACCAACTAGCAGAGGAAGGAAGTATTTCTTGGCGAGAAAAAGGCGATTTTGAATTATACTCCAATAGGGCGTCATTTAGCCTTCAAAGATCTAATTTTACATGCAAGTAAATATACTAACATGGGACAGCCGGCTTTACTTGCTCTCCGAAGGAAGGCCTACGAAGAATTTTTCTCCCTAATCCACGGCTTCGATCCGGGTGTGAACCCGCCAACTTGGGTATACCAGTCCAATACGCTGACCGTTTAACCATCGCCGCCGAATTGTGAGCGAGTATTACTATTATTACTATTATTTTTTCCTCACGGGAAAACAATTCAATTCATGAATCATTGAATGTGACAATAAAATGTATAAAAAATATTCATAGTTGCTCGAGTGTGATAAAAACATATAATGTTCTTATTTTAACCCGTGTATCGATACCATTCAATATTGGAAGTATCGATTTTCGAGGTACAAGAAAATCGACATACCTTTCCTTCGTCCTGTTGTTGATTCAGAATCTACATATCTGACTGATAAAATAATCTAGTTGCAAAACTAATATATTTAGTTCAAATTCGTGAATTGTTTGAGAACATCCTGCACAACTCTATTCTCAAATGGGGCAGTAACTCGCTTGTGGTGGCCGGCTGACACACGTAGTTCAGCGCCTATTCCGTTCCCTCTGCAGCATTGTTGATCGGGAGGAACTAGGGTTCGATTTCTGACGGCAGCGAATTTTTGACACCAGCAATTTAGCTGAGTCAAATTCAACCATTGAAGTAGAATTATAGAAGCCGGCTGACCTGATCTGTCGGCGCTAGATTTTTTCCACTTTCCAGTGGGTCTCGTCCCTAGATACAGCGAATAGCGCTACCTCTATCTTTATTAGCGTCTCTAATTAGTGGTACAGTGTAACGTACTAGCGATCAAATCTCTTGATATCTACTTGGGGACCGGCGGAAAGGGATTAGCAACAGGAAAACGCCTCGCCCCAGGAGGGAGAGATGGGCTTTTCCTGAAGCAAGCTCGTTGCAAAGGGAGACGCGAGACGCGCTGGGGTTCTCCGACCTTAGGGAACGGAGACCAAAACATCGGAGCCGCGGGCAAGCATAAGCGAGCTGTGGAGGCGGCGGGACGTAGTATGTCACGTGAGGGACAGCTATATAAGGGAGAGTACAGAGCCAGCGGGTGCGTTCTGGAGAAAGTGTGAGAACTTGGTGATGATGGCCAAAACTTGCGCCAGGGCGGTGCAGCGAGCAGGGCCCGCGAGGCGAGTCACGTGTTGACGCGCCTGTGGGGACTGTGTGACTGCGGTCACGTGGGAATGATGCTGTGAGAGCGAGGTTAGGAGTGGTTGAGAGCCACGATTCACACCGATCATCAGTCGATCACTCTTGCGATAAAGGCAAGTCATCGGTTGATGCGCCTGTAAGGACTTAGTGTCCGAGTGTGACATCCGGTCGCGGAATCTTGGCTTTGTGCGCGCTTCAAATTTAGGAGTGGCGAGTGTCAAGAATTAAACTGATCATCAATCGGATTTGGATCGCTCCCGCGATCAGGGGATAGTAGGTCTACCAGAGCTAGTCAGTAAAGAGTAGATAATTCAACTATACCTAATTGTTCTACTTGTATACGAAAGCTCATGTCTGTGTTCGCTGTGAATACCTATGACGCCACAATCGCCAGGGAGAATTCAGTAGGTAAAGAGAATCGACATTAATTAGAGGCACGATAAACATTTTCTAATATACTAATATTGATTTTGTATTAACTAGAGGCTCCAAATCACACTACATCACACAGTACGAACTCTGCTGACAGCTGGATACAAAACGGCGTAATCGACGGTGCAAAGGAATGCACTACAATCTCAATGTAAAGACTCTCTCAGCGGTGGAGAAACACACCCACTACGTGCACTGCGCGTACGAGACCAAAGTAGAAGTCGCGCCCGAAATTAATCGTGACGACGCGCTCTTGCAGAGACGCTGCGCATGTACCCGCCGGTGGAGGTGCTGGACCGGAAGTGCGTGCGGCGCTACGTGATCCCGGCGTCGGCCACGGACCCGGAAGTGGTGCTGGAGCCGGGCGACGCCGTGTGGGTGCCCATCTACGGGCTGCACCACGACCCGGCCCACTGGCCCGACCCGGACGCCTTCGACCCCGAGCGCTTCAGCGACGAGAACAAGGCCAACATCACGCCCTTCACCTTCCTGCCCTTCGGATCCGGCCCGCGCAACTGCATAGGTAAGCCGCGCCGATTGCGGCTCGCGTTTCGGAAGGTAAGCCTCGCCACCTCGCACTTCGAAAGGTAAGAATCGCTGGCTCGCACTTCGGAAGTTAAGCCTCGCTCACCGTCTCTGCGTTTCGGAACGGTACCTTGCTGGCTCGGCACTCGGAAGGTAAGCGCCTCGCCACCTCTGGCGAATTTCGGAAGGTAAGCCTCGCCACCTCGGCATTTTCGGGAAGGTAAGCCTCGCCACCTCGCATTTCGGAAGGTAAGCCTTCGCCACCTCGCACTTCGAAAGGTAACGAATCGCTGGCTTTCGCACTTCGAAGGTAAGCCTGCCACCTCGCGTTTCGGAAGGTAAGCCTCGTGCTGGCTCTGCACTTCGGAAGGTAAGCTCGCTGGCGTCGCACTCGGCAGCTGTGCTCGCCGTCGAAGGTATACGCTCGCCACTTGCGGTTTGTCGGAAGTAAGCCTTCGATGCTCGCACTTCGGATAAGCCTACTTTCGTCGCCAAGGTAAGCCTCGCCACCTTGCACTTCGAAAAAGGTAAGAATCGGCTGGCCGCACTTCGGAGTAGCGGCTGCTCCATCATTGACCTCTCGGCTTTGGCTGTTCGGAAGGTAAGCCTCCTGCCACTCGGCACTTCGGAAGGTTAAGCCTCGGCTGGCTCGCACTTCGGAAGGAGGTAAGCCTCGCCAACTGTACCGCGTTTCGGAAGGTAAGCCTGCCACCTTGCACTTCGAAAGGTAAGATCGCGT